TTAGACTGAACTGTCGCGCTTCTCGTTGCATCACACCTCAACCCGCCTCACAGCCAACGCTGATTGGACGTTCGTTTGGTGAACAGCTCCAAATTTTCTTTAACGGAGAGTCTCCAGACTGATTTGCGAGTGAAACCTTGAAAGCTCGCGAGATCAGGATGCCCTGTGGCAGAAATTTGTCACCAATCCAACCAAAACTGTAATGACGCTTTACTCATCATTAAAGATTGAATATTTATCATCACATCTAGAAAATATGTATCAATATATTTTTTGAAATATGTAATTATATAATTTCATTTTAATTTGTTTTTTTTTATATCTTAATCAAGTTCATTGGGCTGGTGGGGCAGTGCCCTAGCACCCTCTTTTGGCTAGCCGCCACTGCCAGTATCTGTTTTGCTTATCGGCTTTATAATAATAACATCTGAAAATAACCAAGAAAATATTGTTCTTCTTTTGAGAAAGAAATCATAACTCATGAAAGAACCAAAGGTAGACCAAAAAAGATGGCAATTCGTTTCAATTAGTAACAATTAATTGAATGAAGTTAACTTAATTTACTTAGCTTATTAACTGGAATGTTTAACCATCATGAATAAATTCAGTTGAATAAACTTAATTCAATTACGTATTACCAGCTGAAGATATTCCTTTAGGTTGGAACTGCTTTTAATTTTAGGGTGTAGCTGATAATCAGGGCAGGTGTTATATTTTACCAAAGGTTAGTGGTTGTAATTCAAGGGCAAAGGAAAACCCAGATGTAAGATTCTGTGCCTACATAGATGACTGCATAGTTTTCCTATACATCTCAGTTTGCTTGGAACTGACCACTGCTGCACTTGGATGTTTTCAAATCCCTAACTACCCCTAAATACATCTGCAAATCTGTGTAAATACCTGGAAGGCACCCACCATAACAATGGTACTGTTACCACATAACAGATAGATTTATCAAACCTCAGTGATAGGGATGGGTATCTTTTCATGTTTCTTTCACATTGTTTGCATCAAGTTATACAGTGTTCTCCATCTGCTGCTTTGAGCTCAGCTTGTTTATTGTATAACAAATTTTAATTCACATGAAAATCCCCCCCATATTTCTACTAGGAACATGCCATCACACAAACTATGTGAACTATATAATTAATGTTGAAAATAGTTCATGATCTCACCTGGAAAAAGTTGGCCATAATGCAGAATTTGCTTGGAGTTTTATCTGACACATTTGCACAACAGAAATAGGTGCACAGTTCTTTAATGAAAATACATTCTATTCATAACAGTAAATTCATTCACAGATGATGCCCTTAAAGCAATATGAGTACAGTCATAGCTCCTATTACATTTGAAAATCTGCTCCATCCTTCAAATTACAATTTGATATGCATCTATTCAGACACAGCTTTGGAGTAAACTATAAACAGATGAGGCCATCCTATTTGGCTGGTATGGGATGGCTCAGGGATGACGATAAAATATTAGAGCTGTTAGACAGCTCCATAACACTGCTGTTAAAAAGAGCCCAGTGTAGAGAGAAGTTAAACCTGCACCTACTTCCTCTCTTTAGCGCTGGCCAGTGTAAACTAACAGCAAATAAGTCATACATTATTCTGTGCGATTCTTGCAGTGGCAATGTCCTCAAACATTGCTAAGGCTGCCATCCTGTCGCAGCCATGCACACCATTATTTATGGACATGTGATATTGTCTACACTTTGTACACTTTATAAATTCTTATACCTGACAATTAATCTGGTAACTCATCATCTTTTGTTTAATAAGAGTGCCCCATTGAGAAAATACAAGAATTATGTGTTCCTCAGTACACAGAGAGCCATTTTACATTGTTTCCATCCTTTTTCTGTGTGTTAATTTATAGATTTGAATTTTGGTTGAGGTATTAACGTTTAGGTCATAAATGGTTAAATTTGAGGAAAATTTTACTAAATGAAGTAACTCTTTATTGTATTTGGGTGAGTTGTGGTGCTTTGTAGGTTATTATTTGATTCAAAATGTTTGTGTTGCTGCTGCACATTTTCACATCATGTCAGGCTCAGAACAATACAGTAGGACCCAGTATTTGAGGTGGATAGACAATTATGTTTCTCCAAAAATTTGTTAGAAATTAATCTGTAGTGAACAGCGCCGGCTTCTAAGACAGGAACCTCTGCAGAAGAGAACACAGGTTAGTGACCACATCTATCTGGCATAGAATGATAATAAACCTGTGAGTCACTAACCTGGTCTTATAGCTCAGTCCGAGCCCAGAGGATGAGGTTGGTTCCACCTGGTCGGGTGTGAGATGCAGTGCGTGCCACCCAAAGAGGGACAGACGCTGATGTCCCGGGAGGTCAGAGAACAGGAAGGAGATCAGAACTGAGCAGACAAAGGAAATGCAGGATAATACTGACAGCAAAGCCAAAGCCCGTGTTGAAGACGTGCTCATTTGTCAGGGCCAGGAAATCAGAGGCCTGAAGAGGTGTGGAAGGTAAATCCATAATTGAGTCAGGAAACAATTCTCAGTTTGGTTCACAAACAGATGGAAATCAGGCATGAGTACGAAAACAGGTTAGGCTTGCATATCAGAACAGGGACAGGCAGGCTCAGAGGTCCACAGGTAGAACTGGTCTAGATCAGGCAATCAGAAAACACCGGTACACTAGAGATATTACACCAAAGCCTCAAATAATCTGGCACTGTTGACTGATCTGAAGTCTTGTTAAACAGAAGCTGAAGGAGGTGGATCAGATGAGCAGTGTTAAGAGCTGGGCAGAGATAAGCCCAGTTCTCAGACCATGAGACATCAGGTCAAAGTTTCCATGGTTTACAGCATACTTTCAAGCATCATTTATTTTTGTACATGCTAATTTGTGTGTGAAATATTACACTGCAACATTTTGTTTGTGCATACACAAATGCTTTATACATATGGCCCTAGGACCTAAAAAGCCTTTTGACCTTTAGTTTAGTTAAATGTTTGAACTGTTGTTAGACTTTTCCTTATGTGGTTTTAATCTTCAGGTACTGTTTATCCAACAAGCCCAGATTGTTTTAACAACCGTGTTTTGAATTGAAAAGGACAAGGCTCCGGAAATTCTAAAAGCCAAAAAACTGTAAAGGTCAGTCTCATTTCGAACCAAGCTATACTCATAAAAAGTAGGAGCTGAATAGAGCATCTTTTGAGCAAAAGGGGCTGAGGTTGCAGTGCCACAGCACAGAAGCATCTGTGGTTCAATAAGGAAACAGCCTCCTCTGACCCAAATAGGCACATCATAAAACTTCTTATTAGAAGATTAAAATAATCCTGCTTTTGACATTTAAGAATCACAAATGTCCCCAAAAACATTCAGGTTTTTAAGCCTCTCTAAGAGAAAGCTGTTTTTTTTAATCACATCATTCATCTGTAATTTAATTCAAGATAATTTGCAAGTATTTGTTTAAAAATAAACTGAAGTAACTTATTAAGAATATTGGTGAAATAAAAAATATATATATATTAGGGATGCAAATTTATAAAAAAAAAAAAAGAAAGACAAAGCCATGATTAATATAAGCAGATTTAATGACCTTTCTGGAAAAAATCTATAACAGCTAATAGAAATTATTTTTTTCTGATTTTATTTGGATTGAATTATATATATATATATATATATATATATATATATATATATANATATATATATATATATATATACAGATTTTATCTAACAACTTAATATATACTTTTTAACTAATGATGATCTTCAGAAAAATTTTAGTTTTTTGTTTTATACCAAATCTTTGAAATGTACTGAATATCATACTTTGTCCAAGCATACCATCAAAATCCCTAGAGGAAGGATAAGTTGTTTGTCCCCGCTGACATTTTTTTTCCTCATCGATTCTTAAGATTATAATAGTTACTGGCTGATAACAGTTTTTTCTAATGTATAACAAGATAAACAAATTAGTCTTCTTGTTGCAAAAAGGAAAAGCAAAGCAATCAGAAAAATATGTTTCTTTCTCACAAATTCTTTGCGTTGCAAGAACCAATAGCACTCCCAACCAGATTTAACATTATTTAATGGTATGTGTTGGATTTTTATTCATCTTTTGTTTCTTCTACATATCAGTAAGTCAATCAGCTACTACAAGACATTCAAGTTTCTCTTGTAAACTACATTAAGCAATATGGAATTTCAAAATTTGGACTAGTTTAAAAAAAAATTTTAAATCAAGACATTAGACTAGCATTGCTCTTCTATCATGACTTTTTTTTTTTATCTCCAAATATCTGGAATTTTCAGATTTCACATATATCATCCAGACAAGAGAAATGGATTTTGTTTGACTGCATATTTTTGATATCTTTCAAATCAAAACTAATTCTGAAACTTGTGACTTGGTTTTAGCTTTCTCGCTGTTATCAGAAAGCTAGTGTCATTGTCTTACCAAAAACTGAATAATGATTAGAAAAATATGACAAGAAGAAATTTCACTGCAGTCCCCTTTCAGATTTATAACCAACAAAGAGAGGCTGCAATTCCATTTTCTCACCTGCATTTTGGATTTCACAGAGGCTTTTCAGTAAGCTACCTTGAAAGCCTGATAAAGGAAATAAAATATATCACATCTGAACTAACAAATGTTTTGATGAGAATTCACTTTTTGTGATTTTTTTGTTCCTGTATAACGCTTTATATATATCAAGGAACATTTTTATTAATTTTCTTACTATATAAACACATGTCTGTCATTTTTTATATACATCTAAAGATTACTGGCACTCAGTCCTCAATAGGCGTCAAAATATGATATATGAAAGTGTTACCTTGTGGAAAAAAAAGGAAGCACAATTTTATCATGAGACAACTTTTTTTTTAGTGTGATAATGAGATTGTTCTTGTTCTCAGCCTTCCCTTATAGCAGGTATTATTATAGTTTTATATTTTCTGTAAAAAAAAAAAGAACTTTCTGTCTTGATTATGTAAACATTTAAGCTGTTAATTGTCTCTGCAGAGAACCTATATAACACGGGACATCATTGCAACAGATGGGGGAAATCGCAACACTTCTGTGGAGCTGGCAGTTACCATTACCAACGTGAAGAACCAGCCTCCTCAGTGGGAGAAAGACAGCTACAATGTTGTCATACCTGAGAATACTGCCAGGGACACACCTATAGTGGTAAGACTATTTACATCTTTAATTGCTGCGCTGTCACTGGGCTAGATTTTTTTTTTTTTTTTTTTTGTGGAGACTGAGTTAGCTGCTTAATTGGTGTTTCAGATTCCTCTACATTATTGCAGATGTCTTAGATCACACCTTTACATTTTTGTCAGCGCAGTGGAATAAAATAGGAGTGTTAGTTTCTTGTTGGGGAAACTTGATTTTTAATCAGTCTAAAATATTTTTAGATGGGGGGCCAAAGGAGCATAAAATGTCTAAGCAGGGTGACAAAGCTGGAACTCTCATCGATAGAGGTTAGAAATATATTTCATGTAAATAGTGCTATCAAAACATCATAAAAAAAAAAACTTGATAGTTTTTAGTGTATAAATTTGTCTTCTTTAAAAAAAAAAAAGCAAAAAAAAAACATTTTACATATAGGCTGACAAATGTTGCCCAAAATAAATGAATACAGAATAATAATTTTGAAAAAGAACTTCATTTATCATATAGAACTTATTCAGTAATCAATTTTGGGAAAGTTAAAACATTTTTATCTGCATGAAAACTATTGTGCTTGGCAGCAAAATGTCTCAAAAACTCTCTCTGCACTAGAATTTATACTGAGAATAAATGCACATCAGGTGGTCCAGTTGGATAGCCTGGATTCCCAGACTGCCTTTCTGTTCCCCTTCATTTTCTTCCTATGCTTTGTCTTCTTTCTCTGTCTTTGACTATTAAAAAAATCTTGTCTTCTTCACCACTTATGCTTACATCATTCTTTGGTTTCAGTTTTCTCTTCAGCTGTTGCACTTTCAATTCAATTCAATTCAGTGTATTTATATAACACCAATTCACAACACGTCATCTGAAGGCGCTTTACAGAGACAATTCAAGCAGATCATACAGTGAAACTGATTCAAAGATTTCTTTCTAAGGAAGGCCAGTTGATTGCATTGACTCATTTACTAAATTTGTCACATCAAGCATGCTTGTAGTGACAGTGGAGAGGAAACACGCTATTTTAACAGGAAGAAACCTCCAGCAGAACAAGGCTCAATGTGAACAGCCATCTGTCTAGGCCTAGAGGGGAAAAAGGAGACAGAAGCAGACATAGAAAAAGAAGCAGAGATACAAAAGGGAACTGTCAACCAGCTCCACAGGCAGCCCTGTCCAAGAAACAGTGGCTTCCTTCACTTGTGACCTTCCTGGTCTATCATTCTTCCTCACTTAAATCTCAGTTTTGTCTTACTTCTCATCCCTCCGTTTTTTGCTAAAGAAATAAAAAATATCTCTACATTTAAATTTCCTTTATATTTTGATCTGTGATGTGTAATTAACAAGGCAAGGCATGTTTATTTGTATAGCACATTCCAGGGGCAGAACAATTCAAAGTGGTGTGCATGAGAAAATAAAGAAAAAGATATGAAAATTGCAGTTTCATAGAGGCAACACAACTATCAAGAGAATGAAAGTCAATAATTAAAATAAGACAATAATATTAGATAAACGATGAATATTTTGATAAATGTCTGAAGGGAAAGTTGCACTCAAAACTTAAATTATGTTTAGATAGTACAGTCAAAGAGCATTTCAAATAAATAAATCCCAATTTCAAGCAAATAAGAGTTTCAGCAGTTTTTCACTTCTCTGGGAGTTTATTTCAGGCTTTTTAGAGCGTAAGAACTAAACGCTGCTTCATCATGTCCTGTTTTGATACCAGGTATGCAGAATAAACTTGACCGAGACCACTTTAGAGTCTGTGTGGTTGACACATGAACATTAACTGTAATGTATTTTGCCACTAGGCCATTCAATGATTTAAAGACTAACAGAATCATTTCAAAGTCTGTTCTCTTAGAGAGGAGCTAATGTAATGTTTTTAGAACTGAGATGATGTGCTCCACTCTCTTAGTTTTGGTGAGGATCCAGTCAGCACCATTCTGAATCATCTATAGCTATTTGATCCAGCATGTAGACTTTCCAAAACAAACAGCCAGGAGGACAAGTTAATGAGTTCTTTTGTAGTTGAAATAGTCACTCCCATCATTTGGTGGCACCTTTATTAGTACATGTTTCCATCAATGCAGCCCAAATAATTGAGAAGTTTCCACAAATTCCAGAATTCCCAGGAGATTGCTTCCTACATCCTCTTTTCAGGGAACATAACAAAATCACAAACTACTGTAAGACCATATTGCCTCTCAAACTTCAGAGACAATGAGTGATATGGTTGTAGCTCCCAGCATGTAGATATGTAGCCCACTCTGTTGTTTCCCAATGCAATGACATGGAGTTAAACAGCAAGTCTTTCCTCTATCTTTACTGGGGAATTGTGTGTCCTTGTATGTGAAAAAAAAAGCCAGAATGCAATATACAAGGTCATCAAGTCTAGCAGCAGACATCTGGAAGTATTGAGAATGTACTTCTTCATCCACCCCATGCATTTGTTGTACCAGCAGGTTATAATCCCTGTCTTCTCGTCGACTACAGTACTGTTTAATGGACAAGTGGACCATCTCCTTTTTTTTTTCTCCTCTGAAGAAACAAAAGACAACATAACAATTCAGCCTCTTTGTTTGAGCATCTTCTGGTCGGCAAGTTGTACACTACTGTTCTGTACTTCTGTTGAAGCTATACGCTGTCATCTCCAGTCTGGTACAAAACTGCTGAAACGGATGATCAATCCACACAGAACCAAAATACTGCCGACGTTGTGTTCGCACATCTCATTTCCATGTTTAATGTACGAGTGGATAGCATAATGAACAGTTAACACCTTTAAAAAAAGGAGCCTCTCCCTTATCTGACCACTTAACTTTTATGCTAATGCCTGCAAATAGAAAATTAGTGAAAGTCACCTAAAAGTTTAAAAAGCAGGTAAGAGTGTGGCCAGATGTGGCCTCCTCTACTATGCAAGACTGCTTTGACACAACAGACTGGGAAATGTTTAAGCAGTCTTACAACAACCAAAATGACACGGAGGAGTACACAGACACTGTAACCCCTTACATTTCTAAGTACATTAATGATGTAACTCATACAAAAAAATAATCACCTGGACTAACCAGAAGCCAAGCCTGACAGGCAACATCCTCAGGCTGCTGAAGGCCTTCAGAGTTGGGGAAGAATCTGGCATGAGAACAGCGAGAGACAACCTTTCCCATGGCATCAAGAAAGCAAAACAAGACAACACCCAGGAGATACCAGTCAACTTCATAGACAGTAAAGCCGGGCAAACACATTTGGAAAATCGCCCTTTTTGGTCATGCAAGAATTTTTCAATCGGGCTGACTTTCAGCTTTAATGTGTGTCGTGTAGTGTACAGGGGGTAACGAGGGGCGATCAGCCTCCCACGACCACCTCCTGATCAGGAATCGTGAGGTCGGGAGAAGATCAAACATGTTTTATTTTCTCCCGACCGTCGTTGGCAAATCGCTCAGTGGGCATGCATAAACAAAGATTCTTCTTTCTCTTCTTCCTCTCAGATGTAAACACAGAAGCATGGCGGGGCAACAGATTGAATGAGCCTCCGCCCTTTCTGCAGACACTCTGGTGCACCTCTCCAAATTTGTAGATGACTGCAGACAGTGCCGCAGACAGAAGGCCTCTGGTTGATCAAATCTACATTCCCTCTACACTATGCGTATTTCATGTTTGGTACCTTACCGTGTTGTTTTGTTTTTATGACCGCCATGGTAGAAAACGACTCGTGAATTTGGACCAGCTAGAAGAGCGAGGTGCACAAGAATGCTGGGACCCTTTTTCCACCTGGATCCCTGCTCTTTTTCACCCTCATGTCCCTCCATTGTCGCACAAACTTACCCCCACTTGTTCACCGCCTCGGCGGTGTCTAGACCCACAGCTAGTTCCTGATTGTCCCGCTTGCGTTGTGGCTTGGCTTCAGCTAAATGTCAGCAAAAGCCAGGAGATCCTTGTCAACTTCCGGAGAGGCAACATCCAAAACCTGCCACTAACCATTGATGATGCTGCTGCAGAGAGAGTAAGCAGCACCAAATGTCTGGGGGTGTGCATCAGTAGGGCCCTCTCCTGGACCACCAACACCATAGCATTGTCAAAGAAAGCCCAGAGGCACCTCTCTTTCCTGCAGAAACTCAGGCATGCAGGAGCTCCACCACCCATCACGACAGCATTCTACAGAGGCATCATTGAGAGAATCCTTTCAAGCTGTATCACAGTGTGGGGTGGGGTCCACTGACTATAACAGGGAAGCCTTGAAGCACATTGTGAATACAGCTGTAAAGATCATTGGTGCCACACTCCCCTCCCTAATAGATATTTACACCTCTTGCATGCCAGCCTGCTCAAAAACGTTTTGACCTCTTGCCCCCAGAAAGCGGTACAGGCGCCTGCTTTCACTATTTTCATACTGCTATTACTTACTACTTGAACACACTTGCACTACTATGCTGCTTGTGCACTAGGTACAAAAGGAATACCTCATTGCCAGTATGTGCCTTTCTTTAGACTGGGTACACTTTGTAACTTTTAACTCTCCGTTAACTTTACTATGTGAGAATGTTTGGTATGTTTTTGTCTTGTACTGACCACCTGAATGTCAGAAATTTATTGTGTACATCATGGAGATACAGAGAAACACAATTTTGATTCTGTTTTATGTCCAGTGAAATAATTTAAAATATAAATAAAACCAAACTATTGAAACAAAACAAAAACAAAAAATGGGCAGATCTGTTGAGACCCAGTTGCAATAATTTTTTTTTTTACTGAAGATGAATGCATTAATGAGTTTTTCGTGCCCCTGCTGAGACATTAGTCCTTTAATCTCGGAGATGTTCTTTAGGTGATGAAAGAGAGACTTTGTTCCTATCTCTCTGTGCTTCTGAAGGTTCAGGTCTGGGTACATCATTACCAGTCAAATTTTGACCCTGATTGGTTGTTTCTACCTGTTTTAATTCAAGCTGTTTGCTGACCTTTAAAAGATTTGAAAGAATTAGTCCACTTATTACAGCAAGACGTCTGTATTAATGTGAAGAAAGAAAGAATATATCACATTCAAACTGGTCCCACTAGCATTTTTCTTTTGTCTGTGTGTGTTTTATCACTTTCTCATTAAGCCAGTTATTATGTTTGTACCACAACATAAGGGCAGTGGCAAAGTTTGACAGGTCCAGTGTTCAACAGTCATACCTGGAAAATGTCCAAACTGCATGTCATTGATTAAATGCATTAGGTTGTCTTTGTGGTGCAAAATATATAAAGTAAAAAAAACTGAAAAGAGGACAATCTGTATGGAAAAAGTCTACAAAAAGATAGCATCTTTGAAATAAGAGATTCTTTCTGGACGAAAGACACCAAGTTAAAAATTGTTATGTATAATGTTGTTCATACTCTATATATAATTAAAATCTTCAATCAAGACTGAATGAAGGTTTTGTTACCCTCTGCTTACAAACTAAAAATATAGTCTAATCATATAGCTTGTTGTATTTAAAACAGTGTTCCCTGACCTGCCTTGTGGTGAGAAACAGTTTGACATCAGTTAAGTTGACTTTCTTTACTGAAACTCTAAAAAAATAAGCCATTTTGTTAAAGATGAATAACCTGCTATGTTGCCTGCAGTTCATTTCCAAAACCTCAACTGAGTTAGTAAACAAAAAAACAAATACAGATGTAAACAGATGAACTGTTCTTTCTTTAAGTTTGAATAACAACTGTCTAATACAATAGCAGGCACGAAATACTCTAATAAACAAACTGCATCTCATTTGTTTTACCAGATTAACTCTGTTACCATTTATTTATGTTAAGCTTGGCTAATCGCCTTCAAGCTGTAGATGAGAGTGGTGTCTTTTGTCTTTTGGCAAAAAGCAAATAAGTACACTTCCCTAAATACAAAGCTGTCAGTTTAAACCCAGCTCTTTAGCATCTCAAAGCAGCTGAGCATGAAGCTAGAACCAAGAACCGATTAGCATTGCTGGCATTAGACTGCAGAAGCAGAAAGCTTGTCTGGCTCTGTCCAAATTAGAAAAAATAACACCCACTGGTGCTTCTCGAGGTCATTAATTTTTTTCTTTTTTCTATTCTGTGTAGAAAATTTAACAGGACTCTCAGGACTCTCATTTCACACTTTTCATTAGCACTAGTGCCTTTGTCTTTATTAGATTAAGGTGTTTCGGTTATGAAATTTGTCTAGATAGTAAAACATTCTAGCAGGATTAAATCTCTTAAAGAAAATATCTTCAATAGATCTATTATTTTCTCAGTGGTCAAGGTGAATGTGGTACAGTCTATTCTGGTGCATTTCAATTAATATATATATATATATATATATATATATATATATATATATATATATATATAATACACTTTACCTAAGTTCAAAAATTTTATCCTAGAAGAAAAAATGTAAACATTGGTGCTTGACACTAAAAACAGCAGTTCAATATCACAATANAGAGAGAGAGAGAGAGAGAGAGAGAGAGAGAGAGAGAGAGAATATTAATAAATTTACTACAGTATACACTGTGTAATAATAATTTCATTTTCTATAATTCTGATGCTTTTGGCTTCTAGATGATGAAAGGCCAAAAATCATTTTAAATTTTAACACTGGATCAGTGAAAGCAAATGTTGATTTTTTTAATCAAATATGTCCACATAGTATATACATTCAATAAATGGTCAGAGCTCCTGCTGCATAAATAACAACACATCAGTGTGGCAACATATGGATGTGGTCGGGGTGTGGCTCTGCTGCAGATATAGAAAACCATGGTTGAATCAGTGGGACCTTCAACTCATCTGCTTCATTGAGTCTGGTTTCCTGCAAGGAAAGCTCCCTGTAGACAGCTACACTGACTTTTGGCTTGATAAAAGACAGCAGACCAACACCAGCAGTCTGCATGGCTACATAGACCTCAAGAAAGAAGCTGGATCTTTCTAGCCCTCTCCATACCCCAGGCATCTGATATCCTGATTTCCACACATTTTACCAATAGAAGATGAGTTTGGGTCACTGAAAAACAGTCCAATCAATTTTCTCCTTAGCCTAAGTAAGATACAGGTTTCCAATGGGTCCCTATATGTTTGTGAATTTTAAAAAAAAGTAAGGAAGTTCAATGACTTGGAAAGGTTTTGAAAACAGCCATAAACAATGTTTACCTTTAAAATCATGGAATATTCTGGGGGCTTTGAAATTTCACACATATGATGTGTCATGTCATTATTTTTAGTTTTTTTATGGCTGCATGCTTGTGTTTCCTCTATGTAGTAAGCAAGGAATGAGTGCATAACAGCAGATTCTTCGGATGTATGCAATCTTCTTGTGGGTGAATTGGTGGATTGCTAGTCACTCTGAGTCAGTGTCATCAAGTCAGTGTGTAAAACCTGTATGAAAATGGAAATTCCAGAATCCATGGCTTGCCAAAGAAAGATATTCTTTAAAAAACGAAAAAAGTCAATCAAAGTCAATAGCATGTTCGCTACATTGTCTAGCTCATCACAAAAATATCCTTTTGAAATTGGAAGCATATAATGTAGGTCAAGCCTTTCTTTTGCTGCCTAACATTTGTGTTCAAGTACCCATAAAGTTCTGATGTTTGATAGTAAGTCCTTTTTGCTATTCTAAAGCTGCTTATGTTGTTTTGGAAATAATGATTAGCGTGTGTAAGAGATGTGTCAATGATCCAACATGACCAGATTGCATTGCGATATTGAATAGTTGATAACTGTCATAACATCACCTTTACCTTTGAAGTTTAAGTGAATTTTTTCCTTTAAAGATTTTATATATCACTGCATTTTACTGTGCAATACAATGTTAGGGACAAAAGAATGTATCCAAAGATTTAAACAAATGTTGAAGTCTAAAACTAGACATACCTGGGTCTTAAAGGGGAGGTACGTACAGATCTGTCTGCGTTTTAAAAGAATAAAATTAAAGAAAAAGCATAAAAAAAGCACTGAATCCAAATCCACAGACTATTATTTATTTGTTTAAGATAGATATAGATACAGACAGACAGACAGACAGACAGACAGACAGACAGACAGACAGACAGACAGACAGACAGACAGACATGTTTGTCATGATTCTGTCACTACTGGATGTTTACAAAAAGTACATGGTTAAAAATCCTGTTTGGCATTCACATGACTGTATCTGGTCAAACTGTTGGATGCTTTCAGAAAACAGACAACTGATAGCTGCCTTTTATCTCCCACCATAAAGTTCAAAATCTTTAATGCAGCTATCTACAAAGCTTTATATTCTCTTTGATAGATGTTTTAATTCTTATACTTAAATTAAAAGTTGCTTTTACTTTATAACTTTTTTTTAGATCTTACCCCTACAGAGGATTACTATAGGCCTTTTCCTTTCCAGAAGTATGCACTGAAAAATGCAATGTTATTGGTGGGCAGACACTGCAAACTCATTCTGGCAGAAGTAATTAAATTACTGTTATTAGATTACTGCCATTAACTGTCCGTACGAGCCCATGTTCCAGAATAACTGAACTCTAAATCTGCTCCACTTCAGTTAGTGTCTCGGCAACGAAAATTATCTCAAAGTGCACTGACAATCCCAGTGTGTACATCCATCTCTCTTACCAAAGTTAATCAGGGTCTCTAGATGATCATAGTGTTAAACTATAGCATTTGTCAGGTATCTAGTAAAGTTACCTTGGGTCTAATAAAATTATTTTTTTTTTTTCTGTTTAACAAGCAGGGTTAGTAGTTGGCTTCGTTTCACCATCAAAATTGATGTTGGTTTACCATTGGCAGGCATTCTGTCATTTTGGCTGCAAGCATCAGCTCATCTAAGTAGTTTTGAGTGGTTTTCTAATCTGATTAACATGCCAAAAAGTCACGTCTTACCTTGTTGTAGCCTTTTTATTAAATAGAAAACAGAAGTCTTACATCCAGTCAGGTACCTTCAGGTGCAAAAGTTCAGTGATAGGTTTTTGACTTTCTTTAATTACTTTGATTTATTTTTTTGTTGCTATTTTTTGATAATATGCTTAGCTCATGGAAGTATAAATCTGATAATAATGTTTAGGTGAATTATATTTAGCTGATCTCCCTTTGGCAGGAGGAATCAAGCAGTATGCTAATGAGTTGTAAAGATATTAATATACATGTCTGCATCAGTATTTTTTACATACTTTATCTCTTTTGTCTCTATTTCTTACCCTTTTTCAGACAATAAAGGCCACCTCTCAGCTGGGTGACCCGAGAGTGACCTACAACCTTGAGGATGGCATGGTGCCTGAAACCAACATGCCAGTTCGTTTCTACCTCTCACCAAACCGTGAGGATGGATCTGCTTCCATTCTGGTGTCAGAGCCGCTGGACTATGAGACCACACCATTCTTTTCTTTAAGGGTCCGAGCACAGAATGTCGCTGCGGTCCCTCTAGCAGCTTTTACAAGGGTGTATGTTAATATTACAGGTATATTTAATAGGGTTTTTTTTTTTTTGGAACAGAGATTTACAGTCTTCATCATTTTCTTAATAAGTCCCTGTAGTTGTTAGAGCATTTATATGCATGCTTATGTTTTTCTTTAATCAATTTCACATTTAAATGTCAGAGAATCATAATAATTTCTTGAACATATGCGTATTGTTTGAACCTTTTCTCTATCGATTTATTTGAAAGTATGTAATAATACAAAAGTACATTTTTAGTCACTTATTTATATGCATAAAATTCATTCATATGTTTTAAAGTTCACACACTAATTGCTAAAATGTATATTTTTAAAGCTTGTACAATTATAAAAGCTGTAAATCTGGATATCTTTCTTTACTTATAATGCATTGAAAAGAAATGATTTATTTCCACAATAACTTTTCCCTTTGTCTTAAGATGTCAACGACAATGTGCCGTTTTTTACATCCTCTATTTACGAGTCCTCGGTAACAGAAGGAGCCCAGATCGGAACTTCGGTTCTCCAAGTGTCTGCCCATGACAAAGACCTGGGTCTTAACGGAGAGGTTCGTATGGATCTGTCTGTGTTTGTGTTGTAAAAGTATAAAATGAAACACCATGGTTTAACAAAAAGCTCTACAGCCAAATCATCAGAGTGTTATTTCTATGCTCAATCATCAATATCACAGCATAGGCAGCTTTATGTAGCTTTATTTATCCACATCTCACTTCTTTCATTGTGAAAATTTTGGTTCTACATTTGTCACAGAATTTCAAGATGTGATGTCACCAATTATCTGAATTATAACAGAGCCAATAGTATTGATTTAGTTTAATAAGGAGATACACATACACATTTAAATCCATATATTTTTGTGGTGGTCCAAGTTTTTTTTATTATTTGTGCTCCTCAGATCACTTACTCTTTGCTCAGCGACAGCAGCGGCGACCACAACTTCTTTCGTATTGACCCCCAATATGGAATCATCTACACAGAAGCGGTATTTGATCGGGAAGCCCGTAGTTCCTACCTGCTCGAGGTTCAGTCAGAAGATGGCCAAGAGTCAGCTCGACCTGGCAAAAATAAACAGCCCAACACAGGTTAGGGATGGATGGATGGATGGATGGATGGATGGATGGATGGATGGATGGATGGATGGATGGATGGATGGATGGATGGATGGNGATGGATGGATGGATGGATGGATGGATGGATGGATGGATGGATGGATGGATGGATGGATGGATGGATGGATGGATGGATGGATGGATGGAATTTGCATCTTACCTTTATTTCTGGAACTATGTGCTTTTATTTCTCTTTGCAATTAAGTTATGTGTCCCTTTTTGGTAGATCCAGTAAATCCTACTGAAATACAGATGATGTTAACATTCTTACTTGCCAAAATTCAGGAACCCTAAAGAGTTTTGTGTAGTTTTACAAGGAGATAAATAGCTTTTTGTTTTTCAGAACATGGATGTTTCAAGCCTTACCAGGGGTCTGTGAGATTTATGGCTGTATCCTTGACACACTATTTTAATACACTGTGACCACACTAAACTTATGAAAAACAGACCTGTGGGAACATTGTCAATATTAGAGAAACTTTTTTTATGCACATGAGATCAGCCTAGAGTTTCCTGTTAGTTCAATCTGAAAAACTTACACGAAGAGAAAAGACAATTAGGAGAAATTTATTGATACATTTAATTTGTCTTTGGTGCTCAGACCTTGGCAGGAAACATAGCGCTTAATTTTGATAGATATGCATGAACAGATGCAAAGAATAGGACTGTTTCCCCCCAGACCTGAAACTGGTGGTGGAGTGGAGATTGAAAAGATTGGCCAGTCTGTATACTGTTGGTTAGTGAGACGGTATGCTGAGCTTTATGGGGAGATCCAGTGGATTGCGTGAGCTGATACTAGAGCTTCACTCAGGGACCTGGAAGATGGAAGTCCAGTTTGGATAACACAGGTTGAGAGAACCTCTTCCCGTTGGGTAGAAACATCTGGCAGAACCAGGCTCAACATGGCGGTCTTCTGCCAGAAGAGTCCTGAAGGAATGACACTCTGATTAAGTTTTAGCTACATTGGTGGAGGAGGGGCTGGAGGTGGGTTGAAACGGTGTCATCTGACGCCTATGCACAGAGGCAGACAGGTTTATATCGGAGGCCTTTCAAGATGAACTTTGGATGGCGATTGGCTTTCGTGGAGGTGTGGTTCAAAGCTGTTTGATCGTGTTGCAGGTGGATGTAGGAGAGCAATTTGTTTTTTTTTTTTAGTTGAACTTCTGTCTATGCTCCATTTCTCCTTAGACCACATTAACTATTTTTATCTGATCTATTCCTTGAAAATGCAAACCTACTTGGCAATAAATTAGATTCTGAATTATGAAGAAAACAACATATTTGATTCGCTTTCTATGCATGAAGTATCCTTTGTGTTTAAACTTGCCAATGTATTTATTATTTAATATCTTTGAAATCTTAAAGGGGGTGCATTTATTATCTTTTAAACAAGGGAATAGACCAGGAAGATTGTCTATTAATGGATGAGAGAAATACCACTCCCAAAGTTAAATGCATTTGTACTCTTCCAGTCTGTAGAGTGGGATCATAAATTAATATTGATAGATACACTGAGAATTTTCTTTATAGAATCATAGATAGACAAAAAAGAAACATAAGAAGGACTCATTGTTTTTGCCAAAAAAAATTTGTAAAATACTAAATATTTTGGGTGTAATCTTCAAATAGTTTTTGTGTATAAAAACATGTACTAACTTGATAGCTTGCACAAAGCTGATCAGTAAACCAGGTGCATTGTAAGTCTAAAATAAGTGGGACAGAGGAAGGTTATTCTATGTTTGCTTTCTTAAATTTCTTTAATCTTAAAAATTGTATTGATGACCTAAGTAAATAATGGGAGAAGAATGTGTAAAATTAAATAACCAGATTTCAGTCCTCCATACAGATTGCGCATATAACTTTTCATCTATAATTCTTATGTTATAAAATGTTTTAGTTTTTATGATTTAAATAAAATCTTTTAATTTTAACTTTACTATTTCTATCTTGAAATAATTTTACTTTTGATTGTATGAATTTAAGATACTTAAATCAAAATTCCCTATAAAGAACATTAATTATTGTTGTTATTGCAATTACTTTCCTGCTTAAGTTTTAACAGTATTTTTTTTTTTTATCATACAATTTAGTCTTATATTAATATTCCAATTCAAGTATATGAAATCCATTACGACCCTAGTTCATTGGTATCAAAGTCAGTTGATTATACACTGACTGGCCACTGTATGACCTCACTAGTACCAAGTTTATCATATTTGAAATAATTCTAGACTAAATGGTATGAGAAACATTGCTGGAATTTCAGCAGGTTATCTAATCCACTTATGGATGCCTTAATAAATAGAGTTACCATCATCGGATTGACAATGTCATTATTTATTTTAACATTCATATATATCACCAATAAATGGTCTGTGAGTGTGTAAAACCAAGTGTAGTGTAAGCATAATCTTGCGAACACTGACATTCACAATGGAAGAAAAATAGCTAATTTCATTATCTGAATTAAAAGCCCTGTTTTTAGATTTTTCAGCAGACAAGCTGTAAGTTTCATATTTAGTTTTTTTTTTTTTTTTCTCGACTTAGAACTTTGATATCAATACTGTTGCATTGTCTCGGTTTTTTACCACAGAAATAATTGCAGGAATCTTAGAACAAAATATGCAGGAACATAAAATGCAGGAATTGTCTTAGAACAAAATTCTCTAACTCTCTATAGTGCAGACTACTGCATATTTGCACCATATATATATATATACTGTATATATATATATATATATAAATGCTTTTATGCTTTTCTCCCACACTGTTTACATTTGATCACTGCTTCACTTTATGGAATGGAAATGTTCATTTGCTTTGTGAAAGTTGTACTAAAGAAAATTTCATTTTGTTTACACTGTGTGTACAAAACTATTGTTTTTGTATACACAGAGTGTATACAAATACCATACTGTAAATAAGATACTTTAAGTCTAAAAAGTCTAAGTCTATCTCATTAAAACAGGTTAGAAATTGAATTACTGTTCTGTTTCTTTTGATTATCTTATCCACAGTGTGCTATTAGTGCAAGTGTTTTTTTTTCTGTTCATTATATATATATATATATATATATATATATATATATCTTATCTCATATCATTATATATCTGAAGCTTGTGTTGGCCTACCATATTTTGTTTTTGACATGTCAGCAGTTAAAGATGTCAACCTGAATCTTTAGTGAGGTAATATGATATCTGTTTTCAGGATTGGGTTTTTTGCCTGTATTTTTTAACCTGGTATTTAGTGTTGCTGTTGATTTCTCTCCTGGGTTGGCAGGGCTGCTTAGCATTTATAATGAGCCTTCGTAGTGTCTACATATCTTCCATATCCAGGAGGGCTGATCTGCACCACACAGCACCTGTCTTTTTGTCACCTTTGTGGTTTACAAAAAAAAAGCTGGAATGCACAAACAAGCCAAGAAAATAAAGCTGTGTGCTGCTATCATCTTCCCTTACTGTGGTTGTTTGAAATTAACATGTAGCCAGAAAACTCTCAGAGAAGATAATTCACTCTTTCTAACTAAAGAAATAAACGGTGTAATGGGAAGGGCACAGATAAGATACAAACACTTGTCATCATATTAATATTTAACTTCCCCAGCAGAGAGTGTCTGTATTTTTTCTCTGCAAAAATTAAAGTGCTTGACAAGGATTAGCACTGAAATTGGTATTATTCTGTCATCACTGTTAAAAAAATCGAATGAATTTAAATTACAGCAAATATGGATCATAGAAAAAGTTTATTAATCGTTATCTGTAAGACAGAGGAAAGATATGGTGTTAGAATTTAATCTTCTGCCATTCTGTCATTTCTGCAGACACAGCATATGTGAGGGTTTTCATCAGCGACGTCAATGACAACAAGCCAGTCTTTGCTCAGCGACTGTATGAAGTCGGTGTCGATGAGAATGCAGATGTTGGCCTGGCTGTCGTCACCGTCAGCGCCACTGACGAGGATGAAGGTAGGTTTGATGAAGGGGATTGAGATATGTGAGCGTTTCTTAACTCATGCTTATTGGCCAAACTGAAGAGTAAAAAGTTAAAAATTAAATTTATAAAATTTTGTTTTATTTAACATTCATGAAGCCAGTCTTGAGGGGAGACATGTCTAATCTGGACTGCATTGCAAAAATCATGTCATTAAAATCAAATCGTGTACTAGATTTAGTAATCATATAAATGCTTAATAATGCACTGTCGCACATATGTTCAAAAACAACTGACATGCTCCCCCACAGTAGGTGGGCAGGATTTAAGCAGTAAAGCAGTTGCTCATCCTTCATATAGCTGCCTAAGATGCTTTTATCGGGAATGTTTAGGTCCGTTAATCAAGTATTTATGGAGAGCGGGGGTGCAGCTTAGGCTGGGCTGCCACACTAATGATAAATGGCTGTGCAATATCACCGACCCCCAACATTAGAGTTACAATTTAATTCTCAATCTGCTTTACTTATAGCATACTCCCTGGGTCAAGCGAATGTAAGCCTACCAGCACCCTCTTCTAGACGGGGAGATTTTTGTCAAATATGGGTCTGGTAAAAACACAGATTACTGTATTAACACAGGATTGTGGACACAAAATCCAAACATGATGATTGAAAATAAAAACAATATGTTCTAATAGATCTTATAATCTATCATTAGATCGGATGTTCTCCAGAAAGAGAGACAGAAGATAAGTTCAGATATTGACTTCCCCTTTTTTTCACTGCCTCCCCAAACCTCTGCCAGGCACCGGAATAATTCCCTAAAGGACAGTATAAGAGGGAATCATGCTCCCTTACACTCATTATTCTTCTGGTACTCCTTTTTAATTAGTATCTGATTAAACCTGAGGAGACAAAGTACAAAATTTCCATCTAATGAAGTAATCAAAATAAGAAAGGGTTACATGAAGATCTACTCAATCTTAAGTCTTGGAGGAAATGAGGTGTAATACTCTTAAGTTTGTAGTGCCCTGCTCCAGAGGAAACAACCTACAAGTAGGAAGATGCCAAATACATATTGATTTTTTTTTTACCACATGAACTAGAATAGTATAAACAGACTTTATTAAGTTTAATCACCCTTTTAATGTTGTTTTTTTGTACACTTGCCAAATATATTTATTTTGGGGAGGGCACCAACTTTTATCTAACAATTTCGATGCTTAATTATCTTTTTTTTCTGAATTCAAAATCCTGATCTGACAACTGTGCAGTCAACAATGCAACAAAACTAAACTTCAAAATATTATGTATATCTGTTCATTTTATTTCTTGCTTATCTTTTTATGATTTTGTGAAAAAAAAAGGCATCAGGAAATACCTTTACTGTTACTACTCTAATGTGTGCCACATCTGAAAAAACAATTTTTGGCCTGATTTTGACAGCAATCTTTGAACATTTTATGTTAAATTAATAGTACTTGGGTTACAATACTTAATAAAAAACTATTTTCCAGTTAATATTTCAATAGTTTTCCATGTTTCAAATATATTCCATTAAATAGATTTCTCATAGGATACCATACAGAATATTCATTTCCTTTACAGCTTTAGATTTGAAAAGTTTTTAAGATCAATAAGATCTTAAAAACTTTGTGTGTGTTTAAGATGGAAGACCTCACTCAGTATATGAAATGGGTAAAAAAAAAAACTAAAAGTATTACAAACTATAAAAAGAAAAAGATTTTTATTTTTAAAAAAAACTCCCTGTCTCAATAATCAATTGAAAATCTTAACTGTACCTTTGTTTTAAGAGCAACTACCTAGACGTTAAAAAATTAACTAAACAGATTTCTAACCCTGTAATCATAATTTGTGCCACAGGAGCCAATGCCAAGCTCCGCTACCAGATAACATCTGGCAACAAAGGAGGTGCTTTTGACATCGAGCCGGAGGTTGGGACAATCTTCATTTCACAGTTATTGGACTATGAAAAGCAAAAGAGATACAAGTTGCTGGTTCTTGCCTCAGATGGAAAGTGGGAAGACTATGCCGCTGTTGTGGTCACCATAGTCAATAAAAACGATGAAGCACCTGTGTTTTCTATGAATGAGTACTATGGATCGGTCACAGAGGAGCTTGATGGGTCTCCTGTTTTTGTGCTACAGGTAAGGAGCCTCCAGGGAGAAAAAAAAAAAACACTGTTTATCCTAGAAATGACCATATCTCAAATTAAGATATGTACGTTGTTTTTAATGAGCTTCCCTCCTAACATTTCTCGCAGTGCATGTTTTTGTGGCAGCTAAGTCATTATTAAAGTTTACTATTCTGACACCTTATTTCAGGTTATCTACTGCTGGTGTTTAACCATTGCTTGGCAAGTTATAGAATTTAAATTTATGTAATTTATGAAACAGCAGATATAAATCTTGTGCTGCCATACTGTGACACCCACTCTCAGGCGAGATGGAAGACACATATCAGATTTGAACTCGATGCTTTAATTAAGCTTGTCAGGAAAAGTGAGAAAACTTTATTGGGATGTATAAAAACGGATGTCAAAGAAAATGCCACCTGAACAATAATTGAAGTAAAATAGGAGAAAACAATAATTTGGGTTTGAATGGGTGAATGAATGCCCGTTTTCTAAAGATTTTGTCTTACAGGTTACAGCCACTGACCCAGACAAAGATGCAGACCAGGGAGCCATCAGGTACTCCATTCATGGCCAAGGTGCTGAGTCCCATTTCATGATCAATGACATCACAGGGGAGATGTACGCCCAGCGAACCATGGACCGAGAGGAGCGGGCCGTCTGGCGCTTTGTTGTTATGGCAACGGACGAAGAAGGCGAGGGGCTTACTGGCTTTACAGATGTTATTATCAACGTGTGGGACATCAATGACAATGCCCCAACCTTTGTGTGTGCACCCGATAATTGCCATAGCAGTGTGGCAGAAAATTCACCTCCTGGAACGTTTGTTGTGGAAATGACTGCTGTGGATCTGGACGATGCAGCTGTGGGTCAAAACGCAATCCTCACCTACCGGATTATAGAGAATGCACAAAATTCAGACAATGCAAACCTGTTTACTATTGATTCAAGCACTGGCACCGTATCCGTGGCAGCAGACGGTCTGGATAGAGAGCGTGCTGATAGGCACCACCTGGTTGTGGAGGCCAGGGATGGTGGTGGTATGATTGGCACGGCCACTGTCACAATTGTGGTGACAGACATCAATGACCATGTGCCAAAATTTATAGAGGACTGGTGTGGTGCTCGTGTACCTGAGAGCACACTTGAGGACTCTTCCCTCTTGGAGCTGAGTGCTGTGGACCCTGATGATGGTAGAAATGGTCAGTTGTCATACAGCATCTTTGCAGGGGATACAGAGCAGCGATTCTACATAGTTAGCCACAAACTGGAGCAGAAGGGCACTCTAAGACTGAAAAAGAAGCTGGACTTTGAGCATCCAGATGAGCAGAGGTTTAACCTGACAGTCAAAGTGGAGGACTCAAATTTTTCCAGTCTTATTCACTGTATGATCCTTGTTGAAGATGAAAATGATAATGCGCCTGTTTTTACCCCAAGTTTTCACCTGCTGTCCCCTGTACCTGAGGATGTACCAGTAGGAACCAGCATAATTCAGGTCATAGCCTCTGATTCTGACTCAGGCCCGAACGGAGATATTTTTTACAGCATCCTCCCACATTCAGACCCCTATGGACACTTCAGAGTCAACCGAGGTGGTGTTGTCACTGTCACGCATTCACTGGATAGGGAGACGGTGGCAGGTTATGAGCTGGTTGTCATGGCGACAGACCGTGGCACCCCAGCCCTTACTGGCAGTGTCACGGTCCACTTGCCTTTGCTTGACATGAATGATAACGGGCCAGAGCTGGAGATGCTCTATGCTCCAGTGCTGTGGGAGAACAGTCCCGCTCCTCAAGTGGTCTGGCTTAACGGGAGCTCAACTTTACTTCATGTTGTGGACAGAGACTCCCCAGAGCATGGACCTCCATTCCTCATCTCCCTTCCCTCAGAGTACTCTGCTGACTTCCACCTTCAGGACCATGGGAATGGCTCTGCCACACTCACCACCCTCCGGAGATTTGACAGAGAAAGGCAGAGAGAGTACCATTTACCGGTGGTAATGATTGACAGTGGACTTCCACCGATAACAGCCACAAGCACTCTCATCATCACTATTGGTGATCATAACGATAACGCCCATCAGGCAGGGGAGAAAGATGTCTATGTGCATAGCCGCAAGGGTAAGTTGCTTTCTTCATGTCTTTCTTCTTATGTATGTTTTTGCTTTTGCAGTGAAAGGCAGAGTTTGTGTGAATAGGGAAAAGTGAGGAAATAGCTGAGGCAAAAATGTATAACTGCTTTACCTACTCATTATGGTCTGGAATTTTTAATTGCTTGTTCACATTTACTCTGTGTTTTGTTATGGTAATGATGTCAAATTCCTTCTACAGCCCTGAGCACTTTCA